GTGGGCGGACTGCGAACCGCCAATCATCGATGCGTCCACTAATATGGTAGATGTGTTCGCAGACCTCTACGGCGATGAAATGTACCGCTTGCTCCTGATCCTGAGCCGCGAGGAGCCCCCCCCCCCCTCCTCAGACCCCATCTACTCTCGCTGACCTCACCCTTCATCCCCCCATCCCCCCTCGACCCATCAAATATCCCAGGGGCCCATGAGGAGATGCATCCAATCATGTCTTCCTGCAAGTTCCTGGCGGGCTGGGCGACATATGCCCGAGAAGGCGTTGCTTCGCACCCCTGGGGTCGCCATCCACTCCGCCCCCTGGGCCCGTCCCCATACGGCCGTCAGATGGCCATCCACGTCCAGAGGCACGGGCACTGCTGGATCCCTCCCGAGTACGGTTTCTTCATGTTCGTTTTTTTTTTTTTTGTTTTGTTTTTCTCCGGGTGCCCCTCTGCGTCAGGGCGCCTGCCCCTGGCGGCTGTCACCCGCTCGCGTGAGTCGAACGGGCCACAATCCACGCGGCCTGTGTTCGCCCTTTTCGGGTGGCACGGGACGGAGATGGGGAAGCGATGGAAATCGCCAGCTTCCCAACTGATGGGAAGGGGACCCCATCGATGCTACAGCGTCGCTCCGAGGCCGGCACAGCCGAGGCAAGTCGGCGAGAACGCGTGGAGGAGGAAGACGAGACGACGACGACGACGACGACGAGCGGACAGGCCACGAGGCCAGGAAATGCAAGAAAGACGAGGGACACGAAGAGGAACGACGAGAGGGGGATGTTCGCCCCAAAAGCCCTTGCGAATTCGACTGAGCCCATCGCCGCCGAGCCCGCTGATCCCGCAACCTCCAATCAATGACGAGGTCGTCTCTACCGGAGCGCGCTCGACGTTCAGTCTTCAGCTGGACTGATACATAGCAGCGCAAACATACACTGTGGGAGGTCAACGCTGGCATCTCGGGTCGGCGCTGCCCCCCCCCCCGGAACCCGCTCACCTGGCGCTGCTCGGCGCGCTCCGCGCGCTATGGGGGAGGGGGGGCGCGTCGCCGACGCGAGAGGTCGGCGCAGACACCCTACAGTATATGTATATGTCGCGCCTCAGGCTCTTTTGTGTTGCGTCTCTGTTGCACGCCAGCTCGCCCGAACGGACGCGCTCGGTGATTGAACTTTTAGACAGCGCGGAGCGTTGCATCGCAGAGCCATGTGAAGATACATCACCACAGAGCCCTACGCGGTAGCACGTTACAGCATTAAGACACGTCATCACATCAAGTCGCAGCGTGGAGGCACGACGTGGTATACCAGCGCACCTCAAATCGTAGCGTGGCATACCTTAGCATAGCACGCCATGCCATACACCATAGCATTTCATGCCATCGCGGTTTGATCCAAGAGGTCCACTATCATTACACTTTGGTCTCAAGCAGCGCTCGATCTAGGGCCGGGCTGCTCGATGCGGGCTTCCAGCGCGACCCCAAGACGGGCCCAAGTTCCAATGGGGCTTCGCGAGGAGGCCACCAAGAGCTCAACACCGTGATAAAACACATCGTGGTCATGTGAGAAAAAACATGTTGCATGGTCGAGGGGTCTATCGATGGGCTGGCTATCGATTGCTCAAAACGGCCCAAACAAATTTTGCCCCCCCTCCAACGCGGCCCCGCGAGCGCCTCGGTTTGACCCGTGAGCGCCAGTTTTGAGGGCGATCGACATCGATGACCACGCTCGCTTGATCGATGCGCGAGGAGGCGCTGTGGGTAAGTAGCCCATGGTTACCAACTGCTTTGTTTGTTCTGTGCTGACAGGGATTTGGGCCTCTGAATCTGGTTCTGGGGCCCACCGATATCATGCCGGTTTGGAAACATGTCAGGATGGGATGCGTGCGGGGTCTGCTACGCGCAGCCAGCTTCGGGCTCTCGGCGGGGAGGCCGCGAGATCCGATCTAAGCCGTTTGGCTGAGTGACGTTGTTTGCTATACTTTTGATGTGTAGCATATGGCATCATGACGTACTACATGATACGATGGATCCATGCAATCACGCTAACAAGCAAAGGGATCTGAACACATGCTGTGCTGAGCGCAATAAGGATCGGATCCACGGGGTGGATCTATCTACCCTCGGGGGAGCCGAGAGATCGCCGGCGCCACCGCTGCGCCCTCGGGAACACGGCCCAGCGCGATCCTGTCGCAAACCCTGCAGAGCGCGTCCAGGGCGCCAGGGTCTGCCAAGGCCGCTCTCCAATGCTTGTAGCGCCCCCCGCCAGCTGCCCCCCCGTTGCCTTTTTGGCTCTGGCTCCGGGGAGGCGCTGGCGGCGGCGCCGCCTGCCCTCGCGGGCGCGCGGCCAGCGGCTCCGCGGGCCGCGGCTGGAGCAACGCTTCCAGCCGCCCCCCTGCCTCCTCGGTTAGCGGGGCGAATCCAGGGCTCGCCGGTAGCGCCGGTGTCCTCGAGCACTCTTCCAGGGAGTTGTGCGGACCACTTCGCCCGCCAAGTAGTTTGAATTAAGCCTCGTCTTTTCGGTCGCTGCCCCGCCCCCAACGCGCGCAGGCAAATATAGGCGCACGTGTCCGTGGGCCTCCTGCAGGAGCTTCTCCCAGGCCCCCTGTGGAACCTCGAGCAGCGTTCGCGGACCAGCTGGGCAGGGCCCTGCTCGCAGCTGTCTGGCGGCCGCCTCTGCCGGCAAGCCCCGGCGCGCAGCGGCGCGGCGAAAAGGGGCCGCTCGCGGAGCAGGAGCAGTTTCCAAGCTCTCTCCTCCCCCAGGCTGTCGGGCGGCGCCTGCAAGACGGACCGGCAGATCTCTTCTGCGACCTGTGCCGCGGCCGCCCGCGCCCCTCTTGGAACGTAGCGGAGCGCGGGGCAAGCGAGCGCGAACTCCGAAGTCAAGTCGAGCTCGTCCAGTTGCGCCCAGCACAGCGCCGCCAAGTCACGGAAAGGCGGCGGGGGCTGTGGCGCAGCGCGGCCTGGCGCCGAGGGGCCCGCGGCCGCAGGCGCGCCGGCCGCCGCGGGGGCAGCTCTGGCAGCGGCGGCGTCGGCAGCGAGGGCAGGCGGGGCGCCAACAACAGCAGGTCTGGCGCCCGCCGCGGGCGCGGCGCGCGGGTGGCGGCGGCGGTGGCAGCGCCCGCGGCGGCGGTGGCGGCGCAGCGCTGGCAGAGCAGCTCCTCGCAGGCTTCGCAGTGGTGGAGCAGTCCCCCTGGCCCAGCCCCGCCCCCGCAAGCGGCGCAGGCTTCCCCGCGCAAGGTCCGCGCTGCGCGTGGCGGCCCCTGGCAACCTGGAAATGGCAGCGCCCCCCCCCGTCGCCGGCCCCGAGCGGCTGGCCTCGCCTACCCGCGTTCCAGCGTAGCCGCGGCGCCGCCTCAGAAGCTTCGGCCGCGGGCTCCTCAGCGAAGGCCGCGGCTGCGGCCGCCAGGGGTTGGCCGGGCGGGTTGCCTGGCAGGGCGGGCGGCTGCGGCAGCGGCTTCCCGGCGAGCCCCCTGCAGGCGGCGCGCGGCCTGGAGGGCCGTTTCGTCTTCCTCCGCGCGGTCGGGCTCCCCGAGGGCGGCGTTTTCCTCGAAGTCCTTGCCCTCGTCGCCATGCTCGTCGGCCCAGCGCGGCCTGTCGTCGCGGGGGTCGCGAGGTCGGGCGGGGCAGATTGCTCTTCCGCGGCCGCGAGTGCCGCGTGCGCCCCAGCCATCGCCGCCAGCATCGGCTCTGGCGCGTCGCCCCAAGCCCTCGCTCCGTTCTCGAGGCGGTCCAATAGCTCGCGCGTGGCCCGCGCCAGCTCCGTGGGCCCCGCGTCGGCCCGGGGCGCGGCGGGCCGCTCCGCGCGCGGCTGCCCGCTGCGCTTCCTCCTCTGCGCGCGCCGCCGCCTCGGCTGCGGCCGCCTTCGCGCGGGCGTCTGCGAGGTGGCGTTGCGCGGCTGCCAACGCCTCCTCCGCGGCTTGTGCGGCCGCGGCTGCTTTCTGCGCCGCCGCGCGCAGGCCCTCCAGGCGGTTGCCGCAGGGGCGTCCCGCCTGCCGCTGTCGCGCGGCACGCTCCTGCGACAGCAGCGGCTCGACGGCCGCAGCCGGAACCCCAGCGCGCCGGGCCGCGGCGGCTGCTTGGCAGAAAGCGTCCGCCTGGGCACCTGGGCGGGGGCCGCGGTGTCCTGGCAGCGCTGGCCAGGCGGCGCCAGCAGCGCCCTCGGGGGCAGCCGTCGGGGGGCGGGCAACTCGCCCTCGCCCTGGCGCGGGCGGCGCCGCACCGGCAGCAGGTCCCGCGGCTCTCGAAGTTGCACGCGCCGCACGCGCAGCGCTACTCCGCGCGGCGCTCTGGCGGCGGGCGGCGGCCTCCAGCGCCGAGGGGGTTCGCGAGGAGCTGTTCTGCGAGCTCCTGCTGCGGGCCGCCGCCTCCGCGCGTGCCGCGGCGATTGACGGTGGTCGTCCATGCCATGGCACCGAGGGGGGGAGCAGAGCGCTGGGGGGCTCGATTTCGGCCACCCCCCGAGGGCTCTCGGCGAGGGGGAGCTGCGGGGAACAAAAAGTGAACGAGCAGGGAGGGTCCGGCCGGGCCGCCGGGGTCGGAGAAACCTCGACCCCCGACGCTCGAGCTCCTCCGCCTCCTCGGGAAGAACTGTAGATTCCAGAGACGCTCCTATCTCCGCACGGAGCCCACTCCAAGTCTAGTATAAAAGTATCGTTTCCTGTGGAATCCCAGGTCGCTCCACTCTGTCCTTAGGATTTCTTCACAACTCTATATGCAACAATGGTGTTTTGTTGCGCGCGTTTGCTGTGGTGCACATATGCGCCGTGGTGTACACAGGTGCTGCGGTGCATGTTGGCACTGTGGTTCACACAGGCACGGTGGTGCAGATCGCCACCTAAATGCTGCTCCTACCCTTCCTCGGTCATTCCTGGGTTTTCCTAGACGCCGCCAGCGTGAAACGTGACGTCACCGGCTTCCCCCCTGGTGACCGCCGTCATCGCCCCAGACAAAGGAAATAGGCTCAATGTGGGAGGCCTAGGAGTCCGCCCGATCCCTCTGGGCGGGGCCTGGTAGTCGATGTCGAACGAATCCTTCCTGCCGCCGGACCGGCTGGCCAGGCAGCAGACGGCGCCGTCCACCCTGCCGAGCTTGCCCAGGGCGCTGGCGAGCGAGGCCTTTGGAGGATGCCGCCAAGGCTGCAAAACATCTACGGACGACGGCCAACGTGAGACCGGGCACACACTGCGTGCGCACAGGTTTCGAATACGGTATCGACCTTAGAACCGAGTTAATCCAAGATTGATTCCCCCGCCGAAAATGCAAGAAACGCGTAGGATGTTCGTACATCTACGGAACATGATACGTATCTGTTCGCAGATGCGGCGGGAAAATCAATCCTGGGGTAAATCAATTCTGCAGACGATCCCGTACTCGAAGGTCTCAGAGCCAACCATCCTCACACGGAGATGGCATCGATCTAGGTCGCCTATCCAGTGTTAGGGAACGAACAGCCCATCAACATATGCCCTGGCCAACCCTCTGGTCAACCCCATCCGACGCTCTGACCAACCCCACACGACCCTGGTCGGGGTAATCATTCCCATGGGATCTTGTAACGTGGCACGTCGTGCCCCGCGATACTCAATTGTCCTCTACGCCTCGGGAATATCCGCCACCGTGCCCCCTGGCACGCTGAGGCGTGGAATGAATGCCCAGGTCTGTCTGGCAGGGTTCATTGAATTCTGACCAGGGGCGGCGCCTCCCTCCACAAGCAGACTCCTGCGTGCACCGCTCCTCCTTTCCGAGGCCACTTCCCTGGTGCCCGCTCGAGGACGGTGCACTTTCAGCATGGCAGCATGGCAGCTAATGCCTGATGCCCCCCTTTCACGAGTACCCGCTCAAGGATGGTGCACTTTCCGCATGGCAGGTAATGCCTGAACCCGCATTCCATGGGCGCCCGCTCGAGGATTGTGCACTTTCCGCATGGCTGCTAACTCCTGGACCCCTCATCCCACGCGCACCCGCTCGACCATCGTGCACTGCCCACATTCCCAGGCGCTGCTCCCAAGCGCTCCAGAGTCTCCCAAGTCGCGATCCCTGGTTCTAAACGATGGATGCATGCCCCGAGCTCCAAGACGGCCCGTGCAGGCAACCAAAGACACCAAGATGGCCCCGGATGCCTCGAAGTCCTCCCAAAATTGCCAAAAACCAGCGAACATTAATCCGAAACGGACCAAGATGCCTCCAAGAACGCCCACAATGGGTCAAAACCTCCCCCGGCAAGGTCCAGGGGAAAAAATACTCTGTGACGTCCGTTCGATGCTTGAATGGGTTTAGCCTTCTCGCCGTTTCGTGCACTGCTGCTCCAAAACGGGGACCCTGCACCACACGACGGTTGGAAAAACGATGGGGTCGGCAGCGAGACCGACGTCGAAACCGAAGCCGACACCTGGGGGCCACGGCCTGGCCCAAAGGGCGCGGCTACGAAGAATCAGCCGAACGCAGCCGACCCCGACGACTCCGATCAATGAGTTTGCTAGTTATATAAATATATAAACCGTATGAATTGCACATGTTTGTATATATGGCATATGTTACCCAGCGTGAGCCCCAAACGTTGTGATGTTACCTATATGTGTTGTGCGATCTGTGTGTTCTGCACGCGATTGCGTGCCATATCTAGTATGCACCCTATGTCGTGCAACATCCGTTGTGCAACACATGTGGTGCAATCTGCAAACTTCAAGATATGAGGTGCACGGTCCGTGGAGCTGTCTAAGTGGTGCAATCCGCTGGCCCCCTTGTGGGGCCACCAGGCTGTAGGAGCGAGGTTCGCAGTTTCCTGTACCAGCTGTAGCTTGTAGTTTCCAGTGTTACAGTTCTGCTTCTTGCTGGTTACTGTAACTAGTTGACTTATTGCTGGTTACTGTAACTAGTTGATTGACCGCGCGAGGGGGGGGGAGGCCCAAACCGGCTTTTTAGCACCCCCCGGGCGCGTTGTCTGAATTGCTGGGGGGGCTCGAAATCGACACCCCTCACGCAGATCCGCGGGGTCAGGGTCCAAAAACACATGGGATTTGCCACATTTCTGAAATTCGGTGCCACCCCTCACGCAGATCCGCGGGGTCAGGGTCCAAAAACACAGGGGATTTGCCACATTTCTGAAATTCGGTGCCACCCCTCACGCAGATCCGCGGGGTCAGGGTCCAAAAACACATGGGATTTGCCACATTTCTGAAATTCGGTGCCACCCCTCACGCAGATCCGCGGGGTCAGGGTCCAAAAACACAGGGGATTTGCCACATTTCTGAAATTCGGTGCCACCCCTCACGCAGATCCGCGGGGTCAGGGTCCAAAAACACAGGGGATTTGCCACATTTCTGAAATTCGGTGCCACCCCTCACGCAGATCCGCGGGGTCAGGGTCCAAAAACACAAGGGATTTGCCACATTTCTGAAATTCGGTGCCACCCCTCACGCAGATCCGCGGGGTCAGGGTCCAAAAACACAAGGGATTTGCCACATTTCTGAAATTCGGTGCCACCCCTCACGCAGATCCGCGGGGTCAGGGTCCAAAAACACAGGGGATTTGCAACATTTCTGAAATTCGGTGCCACCCCTCACGCAGATCCGCGGGGTCAGGGTCCAAAAACACAGGGATTTGCCACATTTCTGAAATTCGGTGCCACCCTTCACGCACATCCATCGCAAGGCGTGGTAACCCAAACTGCGAGAACTCCCTCGGCCCTTTAATCGCAAGGTGTGGTAACCAAGCCCGTAAACCATACACGTCTTACCAATCGCCAGGTGTGGTAACCCCTCTTGTGATCAGTTGGTTTTGCTGATTGCGAATCGGCTTCGCATGAAGTTTCGATACTGCTTCACGACAGCGCCAAGGCCTCATGACTTAGCTCTTCCATGGCCCATTCTCCGAGAGAGGGGGCCGGCGGCAGGGGGCGAAGCCCTTACGGATATATGTGATGCGGTCGATGCTGCGCAAGTTATGGGGCAACGCAAATATTTAAACTGTGGTAAAACCGGTGCTGTGCACTCTACGAAGTGCAACCGGTTTGGTGCAGTAGCTGTTGTGCACTCAAGGGGGGCAACCAATGATGTACAATGCGGTACTTTCTACGTTGTGCAGGCGATGTGGTGCTGTCTAAAAACTAAAAACACTTTCTGTCCGCACTGAAGTGTAATCCCGCTGCTCGTGCAACCAACCCACCCACCCAGCAACCCGCAAGTTCGCTTGCAAAACCCATGCGGTGGATTGCGATCAGTGCTTGGTGTTAGCTGGTGAATTTGTGCGGCCGCGCTACCGCGAATGCTCGCGCGCGCAGCAGCCAACTAGTTTGGCGCGGCCGAATGCGGCCGCAATAGTGCTGACCGCCAAGCACTTCCCAGCGGGCACTTCTGTACGAGGCGGCGACTGGGGCAGGCGCGCCACAGTGGCAACGTGTGCAACGGTTGACACGATTATGATGGTAGCGATGCTGGTGACGATGATGACAATGACGGCGGCAAGGCTTGTGACGGATCCGATGCTGATCGAAACGACGACGATTACGGCGTCCTCGCGTCGATGATGGAGGCTTTTGGACGGAATTCGACCGCGTTGTATTATTCGACACGGGTTTCCCCCCCGAGCACGCGCGCAGGAACGTTCGCATGAATTCGACATGCGGCTCGAGAGGCCTGTTTGGCCACATTGAATGATAATGCTTGAAGAAACACTCGTTCCCCAAAATATAGCAAAAACGCGAGCGCACGCGAAAACATGTTTTTTTTATCTGGTTTCGGGACTCTCGATTTTGAAATCCATGCGAAACCTAGGGAGCTTGATGGATTTCGGCATGCGCGCGCGACGACGCGCGCGCACGTTGTTCAATGGTTCGCGCGGAATTATTGCAACGCCACGCGCGCAACGGAACGCGAATGATTTCGACATACGCGCGCGAAAGGCACGTTTGGCAGCGTGCTATGAAGATGTTGAAAACCATGGTTTTCTTCTGAATTCGCAAAACCATTTTTTTGTTGGCGCTTGCTGTTCTGACACACTTTTCTTGCGGAGCCATGCATCTTTGTTAGTTTTCGGGGCACTCGATTTTGAAACTCCTTGCGGAAACTCAGAAATGTGCCAGAGATTCCGGGATGCGCGTGCGACGACGCGCGCGTGCACTTCGTCCCGCTTTTGGCACAAAAGTTCTGGAAACTGGCGACTTTTTATAAACGAGCGCGCGCACAGTCTGCAAAGGACGTAAAGGGGTCGATGCTTATCTGGTTGGTTTTCTATGAATGAATATGTAAGGCGGACGAATAGGCAAGATCGCGCGCGAAATGCAACGCGAAACAGAAACCGCTAAGTCCAGGGAAGGGAGGGGGGGCTAGATCCTGGCATTCTTGTAGACACCATCTTATGTGGCAACCTTCGCGGCCGTATCTATATACCGCGCAATTGAATTATGTTCGCAATGGGTCGCCAACTCCAACGTTCGCGCAATTATCCCGCCCACCAGCCCGCAATTGGGTTGCAAAACCAATGTATCGGCGATTGCGATGAGTGCTTGGCGTTGGCTGGTGCATGTCCGCGGCCGCGCTAGCCCGCGCATGTTCGCGCGCGCAACCCAGCTAGTTTGGCGCGACCGGTGCGGTTTCAGTGCGAATCGTCGACTTTGGCGGGCGCGGCATCGTGGCACGTCGGCAACGGTAGACACGACGATGGTACTAGCGACGCCAGAGATGAAGATGACATCGACGACGGCAGGGCCAGTGACGGCGCCGATGCTGATCGCGCTGACGACGATGACGGCGCCCTCGCGTCGGCGATGAAGGTTTTGGAAGGAGTTCGGCAGCCGCGCGCGGCCGACGCGCGAGAGTGGCCCGCGTGGAATTCCTCGACGCAAATCGTGCCCTCCCCCCATGGAATTATTCGACGCGTATCGTGCACCCCACCCCCCACCCCCGCGCGCGCGCAAGGGCGTTCGAGTGAAATCTCGACGTCCGGCGCGGGAAGCCCGTTCGGCCGAATGGGATGCATTTGTTGGGAAAAACGATGGTTGTAGAATTCGCAGGGGCGCGTGCGCACGTGTGCTGGAAAACTGCTGCTGCAATGCGATGTTTTGTTACATGCTCTGCGGGGCGTTAAATTTTGAGAACCGTACGAAACCTACGGTTGTTGATGGATTTCCGGATGCGCGCAAAGACGATGCGCTCGCGTACTCCGTCCCATTTGTTGCAAGGGATTCTTGCGACAGCACGCGCGCCAGGGCGTTCGAGCGATTTCGACATGAGCGCGCGTGAGAGGCGCGTATGGCAGCATTTGAAGAGCATGTTGAAAACAACAAATTCTCAAGAATCCGCAAGAGCGCGAGCGCAAGTTTTTTGTCGGTTTGCAAATCCTGTTGCGCAGCCATGCCTTTCTGTATATTTCCAGGGCGCTCGATTTTGAAATACGTACGAAACGCAAGGGTTTATATCGATTTCGGCATGCGCGTGCGACGACGCGCGCGTGCGCACTTCGCCCCATGTGTTGCAAAGGGTTCTTGAACACTGATGACTGTTGGTGACGGAGCGCACGCTCATGCCATCTGCTGCAGAGGATGAAAGGGGGCGCAGTACAAAAAAGGAACGCGGTTAATTCTTGGGGGGGGGAGGGGGGATATCCTATTATGATTGTAGAAAGGGAGGGAGAGAAAGGTTGTGCGCTGTATGCGGAGCAATAGATGTTGTACGACGAGGCGGCGACGGGGCGGCGACGGCGGCCACATAGCCGCCATGCCGAGGACACGGCTCAAACGGCCAGCGACGGGGGGCGGCGACGGCGGCCACTTAGCCGCCAGACCTAAGACACGGCCCAGACGACGGCTGGCGACAAGGCGGCAACGCGCCAGCGACGGCGACCACATAGCCACCAGGCCGAAGACACGACCCAGTTCCTCAGAACAAATGTAAGAAGCCCGAACTGCTTGGGGACTACAGGCGGAGGGGCAGAAAGAACAAATACACAATTTAGCGATCAGTCCTTGCTGTTTTTCGTCTGGCATCGGCGTGACAATAATGTTTCTCGTCATTCGCCCCCCATGTTTCATTTTCCTTTTGCTTATTCTCGCCCTAACCTACGAATTCCCCCTATCCTCATCAGCCTATTCTCGCGGAAGTTCCAAATTGGAGAGCCGATTGGTGGGCTCACAAAAATTCCCGACCAGCCTGTGGTGCTGGGTCATCGTTTTGAAGAGACGCCGCCCCGCGTCCTCTCCTCATCTTCTCCTCCTCCTTCCCTCTCCTCCCATACCAGCCTCAGCCCTCCGCGTGTCAACATTTTCGGCGCACCCCTCACACGCTCCGCGGCCACCTAGGGAGATCCTCCGAAGGCCGCGGGCCGCAGTGGCAAAGCTTGCATGCGTCCCCCCCCCCCCCCACACACCACAGCGCTTCGTGGCCCCATAGGGAGCGCCACCGAAAGCCCCAGTGGCAAAGTTCGCCTACACAGTAGAGCGCTTCGTGGTCCCATAGAGAGCTCCACCGAAGGCCACAGTGGCAAAGTTTGCATGCGCCTCCCCCGCCCAGTACAGCGTTTCGTGGCCCCAAAGGGAGCTCTACCGAAAGCCCCAGTGGCCGCAGCCGCACTCGCCTCCCCAACCCGGTACAGCGCTTCGTGGCCCCAGAGGGAACTTCACCGAAAGCCCCAATGGCCGCGGTCACATGCGTCTCCCCCGCTCGTTACGGCAAACCCCTTACGCGTTTCGTGGGAGCTCGTCCAGAAGCGGTCCCACAACGCGGTACTCACAACTGCATATAGATGGGCCATTCGCCCGAATACTTCTCAAGAGTATCCTTGGAGCCTTCTGGAGGCCGTCTGAAGGCCTGGGGGGGCTTCTGTGGGCGTCCCTGCGTCCACCCGCGGCCTCCCTGCACGACTGGTCACGATGTAGAATGCTGTGGGGGGCGTGTTGGGGCAAGCTCGGATTGTCATGGGGTTCTCTTCGGGTCATCTTGGGGTCCTGCTGGGCCGTCTTTGGGGTCTGCTGGGCTGCATTACGGGTCGCTTTGGGGCGATGTTGAGGCCTCCTGGGCGGTCTCTCGGACGCCCAGAAGATGGAAAAACAGAGCATCTAAGCATTCCCAATCTGCTTCATTGAAACATGGGAAATTGATGTTTCTTTAGCTTCGAAAGCGTATTCTGGGGTCGTCTTCGGGCGTCTGATGGGCCTCTTGCGCCTCTCTCGCGAGGCCGTTCTGCCGCCCTCCTGGCCGATTTGGGTTCGTTGCCGAAGCCAAGCAGGGGCGTCCAGGAACCTCAGAAAGCCTGGGGGATCTTCTGGGGGGCCCCCCGGATCAGGGGGGTCCGCTTTGGGGATGGCGGGGGGGGGAATCCCCCGGATAGTAAAAATCCGCCAGCCCCCGTTTGCCGGGGGTGACACGGCGTGTTTTTTTTTTCCAGCGCAACTATTTTGGAGAGGGGGAGGGAGGGCAGAGGGGAGGACGCGAACCACCGAAGAACAGAATACCACTCGTCTCACTCGGTGCAGTCTGCGACTACCGGCGGAAAACGCACAAGCCGAAATGAGACATGCGGAATCAAGCTGACTGTAGTAGCAAATTTCCGTGTCCGTCGCGCGGATGCTTCTATGGAATCGCGGCTAAAGTATGAACTCGCGCGCGCGTACCCCATACCAGTCCAAACTGGCGGGACTCGCACTGGTGCCCAACGCAAGTGGAGAGGAAAGCGAACGAGGAAGAAGAGGAGGAGGAGGAAGAGGAAAGGAGCGAGCTCAAGCGACAACCGTGGATTACCCTACAGCCTGCACGCCGAGCATTGGAAATATGGCCTGCCCCAGGCAACAATCTTCGGATAGCCATTCCAGACAGCTGCAGGTAAACTGTGAACTCAAACTCGTGCGTGCGTAGACCGATCTCCACGGCCAGTGCCGGAGAAAGTACCCGCACAGAGGACCCACACGAGCGGAGATCAGAAAAGCCAGAGCAAAGCCTCATGCCTAGGCAGAGGAGCTACGCCAAGTGTGGGAGCGAACGATGCTGCAGGCAGGTTGAAACATCAAATCTGTTCGAATACAGCTGGGGGGAGAGGAGAGAGGAGCCAACGAGGAGCGAAGGGGAGGGCGAACTGCGCCGGCAGGATGTGGCAGCAGCGCGAGCCCGCAAGGGGCCAACCGCGAATTTCTGGACAAGACGGGGCGAAACGCCCGGCAAGCACGCTTGGCGGGACGCCGGCGCCGCCCGCGCAGAAGCGGCGGGCCCGCGGGCAGGTGGCGTGCGCATTCGGGAGATCGAAGCACTCCTTCAACGCAGCACGACCTGGGAATGACAAACAACTCATGCAAGACATCATGCAAACTACCACTGCGTAGAAGACTCACCACCACCGAAAACAGAAGAGGAAAGCGAGAGCGGGAGGAGGCGGAGGACGGAGGCGGAGGACGGAGGAGGAAGGGGAAAAGGACCGCCCTCGACGAGCGTCTCGGCAGCATCACTGGCCCTCCGGCCCGCACGACAAACTGCATCCCAGTTGAAACAAAGTGGGGGTGAGGAGGGGAGGCGGAGGACGGAGGCGGAGGACGGAGGGGGGAGGGGAGGAGGACCGCCCTCGACGAGCGTCTCGACAGCATCACTGGCCCTCCGGCCGGCCCGACAAAACTGCATCCCGGTTGAAACAGTGTGGGGGGAGAGGAGGTGTGCATCACGCTTCCTCTTTCCCCCGGGGGGTCCGAAATCGCATTTTCGCATTTCAAGGGGGAGTCTCTGGGCTTGCGGAGCTACACTCTGTGGCCTCCAAGATGTCCAAGATACTATCTCAGCTGGCTCAAGCTGGGCTCCATCACGTCGAAGAGAGCTCAGAGACAGTCAAGATGGGCTGAAGACTGTCCAAGTGGTTTCCAAGACGTCTCAAGAGGACCCCCTGGAAAGCCCAACGAGGCAGGCATCGTCCGAATATTTAAGGGAACAGTATAGTCTTAGCATGTTCGCCTCTCCAGTCTCAACAACATCAAGGACTGCTCAAAGGCCTCCAAGATCGCTCCAAAACTGCCCGAGAAGCCCTCAAGATGGCCGCAAGACGGCCAGAGGGCCCAAGAGTCGCGCAAAATGGCCCAAGATGGCTCCAACAGAGCCCCAAGAGGGGTACCAGAGGGGCAACTCAAACTGACATTTCGAGCCCTCCGCCTCACACGGATCCACAAGATCGCCAGCAGGAGCCCAAGGAGGCCTCAAGCGGCCCCCAAGAGGACCAAAAGAGGCCCCCAAATGGTCTCCAAGAGGCCCCCTTGACGACCCCAGGGTCTCCAAAAAGCCATCCAAACAATCACACCAACCCCAAAAGGGCTCATCCGTGCACTGCGTTTTCCTCTTGGGGTTGGCGGAATGGCGCAAGCCTCTCTTTTTTTTGTGGAATGGCAAATGGGAGACTGTAAAGCAACCACCGAAACCACAGGCTGTCTCTGCAAGATCCTGATGGCCCACAGGGCCATACGGATCGAGATTGGCGCACATTGAGGCCAACAGATCAGCTGTGCGGCGCGAGGCTCTTCACAGTCGACGTGGGAACCAACGTCTGAAAGCGCTAGAAGCTTCAAGTCCTGCGCGGCTCGAATTAGGTGAGTCATGCAGTCATGCAACTCGAGTCCCGAAGAAGGCCAGGGTATGGAGGGCGAGGACACGGTGGGGGTTATGGAGATACAGATCCGCAGCAAAAACAACTTCCACCAAAACGAGCGCCGAAGACAATGAGAGCCCCACGGAGGCCGCGCGCTGAGTCCTGCAAGATTCCACCAGCCCAGGGGGCAGAAGTGGTCGAGATTGTCCCGCATTGGGGTCAACAGGGCGGCAGCTGCGGGCCTCGAGGCTCGTCGCGCTTTGCAGGACTACGTCACGCGAGATACACCTACAAACGCTGCAGGTTGTCGGCCGCCAACTCGTCACTGACGAGCTCGCGGGCCCCGTGCGCATGGAGGTCATCGTTCATGTCGTCCTTCTGCTGCAGCATGTCCGCACACATCTTGTCGAAGGATGAAGCAGAGATGAGGTGGCACTTGCGGTCGACCTGCCAAGTGATGGGGCTGTACGCGGAACACATCTCGTTGTCGCGGCTCGTGCCTGTGGTCGAGCCCGTGTAGTAGGCGATGTCTGCGCCGAAGCCTTGGTCGCCGAGCGGGTCCATGATCATGCCCCTCATCAAGTCGGGGTAGAAGTAGTCCTCGTCGTTGACGATGACGAACACTTGCGCCTGCACCCCGACCTTGTGCTGAAGCTCTCCGGCAAGGTAGGTCGCCCCCCTGCAGAAGACTCCATCGTAGAAGGGCGTCTGGTACTGAAACGGGGTGCCGCAGGCGCCGGCGGCCGAGTGCGGCCAGTGCACCTCGTAGGTCTCGCCGACGTGCATGCCGACGCAGTACGCCCACTCGTACTCGGTTGTGAACTTGGGGTCGGCCTCGTCGAAGTGGTGGCACTGGAAGCCGAGGCGGGCTACTGCCAGGCGCCGCGTCAGGTCCTCTCCGCCATCATCCTCCTCGGAAAAATTCCTGCCGGTGCCGTCCTCGTCGAACTGGCCCACGGAAAGGTGCTCGGCTCCGTAGTGCCAGTGCACGTTGACCGGGCAGAGGCCCCCCTCGAGGTACGTCAGGTTCCAAGGTGTGGCATCGACGGCCATGCCGCCCATGTAGCCCTCGGTGACATTGGCGCCGGCCTGCTCGACGGCACCAACGATTGCGTCGGCGCAAGGGAAATTGTCGAAGCCAGAGGCCGTCGGCTTCGTGCCTTCGCATGGGTTGGCCGTGGTGATGACGCTCGTGTCTGGCGCCGGGATGATCTGGTAGTTGGCGACGTCGAAGGTTGCATCCGGCTGGCCGCAGCACCCCGCATCCTTGTACATGTCCTTCACAGCCCCGCACGTGTAGCCAGCGGGGCCATCGGCGCCGAGGGCCATCGGCACCGAGCCGAGCGCCGCGAGCCACCCCAGTGCGGCGGCGGACTGGTGCTTGTGGCCGGACAGCGCGAGCGCGAGCGAGAGAACCAGCGGGGCGGACCTCGACGCGCCGCTCGTGGGCAGCTCCTCGTCGGGGTCCGTCGTGGTTGCGTCGCACAGGTCTGAGTCGGCGTCGTCTGGGCAGCCGGTGCCGAGCGCGGGCCACATGAGCACCCCGAGCAGGACCGCCGCCGCCAGGGGGGACTTGCGTGCCGAACCCATACTGGCGCTCTGGTGCGCCGGGGTCCTCTCTCGCGCACTCTTGCCAGGAACAGCTTGAGCCAAAATGGCTGCGGAGGAATGGCGCAAGCCTCTTGACAATAGAGAAGGGAATGCGAATTCGCCTACAACGAAAACGGCTCGGCCTCGTCCATAACGTCGCCGGTGATCACCTTGACGTTACTGTACTCGCCGAACGAAGCCTGCCAGAGCATTTATGCATTTACCCATTCTGCATGCGACGCCCCTGGCACGTCTTCCCCACCTCCCTGTCTTTCTATCTTTCTTTCTCTCCCACGAGGAAACGAAGACGACAAGGGATCAAGGCCTGTGGGAAGATCAGATCAAGTGTGCCTTGTGGAATCTGGTGGAGGATGAAAGGACAGTCGCGCTGGCACTCACGCAACCCGCCACAAATTCAACTGCAGTTGCATTGAAGCTCCACCTCCACGGATCCCAACTAAAACCAATAACGCGTCCGCACAAGATAGACAGGTCTGCAAGAGGACACCGCGTCCGCACCCCGCGTCCGCGCGCGACAGGCAGATCTGCAAGGGCGGAAAACGATTAAAAAACGGGATAAGGATCCAAACATGTGCAATTGTATGTATCGCAGTTGTGAGCGTCGTTATCGGTGGAGCTCCCTATGGGCAACAAAACGTGTCAGGGGTGTACCGAAGCAGATGCGGGTACGCCATGCTTGCTGCGCCAGTGTGGCCTTCGGCGGGGTTCCCAAGGGGCCTTCGATGGAGCTCCCTACGGGGCCACGGAACGTGCGAGGGGTTTGCCGAATCGAGTGCGGGTGCGCCATGCGGACTGTGCAACTGGGGCCTTCGGTGGAGCTCCCTATGGGGCCACAAAACGTGTGAGAGGTGTGCCGGATGGGGTGCGGGTGCGCCATGCAATGAACGTGCGAAGGGTGTGCCGAAGCGGGTTCGGGTACGCCTTGCAGACTGTGCTCCTGGAGCCTTCGGCGGAGCCCCCTTTTGGGGCCACGAAGAATGTGAGGAGTGTGGCAAATCAAATGCGGGTGTGCGGACTGTGCCAGATGGGCCATCGGTGGAGCCCCCTTTGAGGCCACGAAGCGTGACAGGGGTGTGACAAAGCGGGTGCGGGTAAGCCATTCGGACTGTGCCGCTGAAGCATTCGGTGTACCTCCCTATGGGGCCACGAAACGTGTGAGTGGTGTGTCGAAAGTGGTGCGGTGCCGCGATGCGGACTTTGCCTCTGAGGCCTTCGGTGGAGCTCACTTTGAGCTACGAAACGTGTGAGAGATGTGCCAAGTCAGATGTGGGTGCGCCTTGCGGAACTCCCTATGGGCCACGGAGCGTGAGATGGGTGCGCCGAATCGGGTTCGGGCACGCCGTACCGCCTGTGCCACTGGGACCTTCGGTGAAGCTCCCTCTGGGGCCACGAAACGTGTGATGGGTGTGCCGAAGCGGGCGCGGGTACGCCATGCAGACTGTGCCTCTGAGACCTTCGGTGGAGGCCCCCTTCGGGGTCACGGTGCGTGCGAGTGGTGCGCTGAAGCGGGTGCGGGTACGCAATGCGGACTGCGCTGCTGAAGCCTTCGGTGGAACTCCCTATGGGGCCACAAACAAAGCGCGTGAGTGTTGTGCCCAATTCGGTGGTGGACAAACTTCCCTTTAATAAACGTCCCTTTAGTGAAAACGGCCTGGGACCGAAACCGACGGACCTGGCCCAGCAAAACTGACGGCCGCGACGCCCTCTCGCGAACCGAAAACGGCCAATTCCTTAATCTACGTGTCAGGGTAGGAGGTCTATCCACCTCCGACCAATCAGATGGGGGTGCGCCATGCGTACTGTGCCACTGGTGCCTTCGGTGGAACTCCCAGTGAGGCCACGCAACGTGAAGGGTTTGGTGTGCCTCCGGTGTGGCTACGCCATGCGGACTGTGCCGCTGGAGCCTTCGATGGAGCTCCCTACGGAGCCACGGAACGTGCAAGGGGTGTGCCGAGTCGGGTGCGGGTGCGTCGTGCGGACTTTGTAACTGAGGCCTTCGGTGGAGTCCCCTTTGGTGGCCACGAAACGTGTGAGGAGTGTGCCCGAATGCGGAGGGACAGAGGCACGGATGGGAGGAGGGAGGAGGGGCCAGCGGGACGGAGTGGATCGCGGCGAAGGCCCACACCGCAGGATGGTTGGGAAAAGGAAAAACCTAAACTTTCGGTTCGGAGATTCGAAACATGGCGTGGGAAGACGGCGCTGGGAAAACGCTATGGGAAAGACGGCGCTGGGCCCCCCTTGCGGCGCCGCTGGCGCCGCCCCTGGCGCGCTCCGCGCGCTAGAGTGGGGCCCAGCGCTGATTCAAGCAATCCGCGCGGACCTGCGACAGTTGATAGTTACCGGTTCAAATGAAATCCTCTTCGAAATAGGTGGGGGTGGTAAACGGGGGCTCTCGAGCCTGCACATCTGTGGCCGACTGCTCGCCGCCGATGCCAGACTTCTCCCGCGCGAATGCCACGACTTCGTGCCCTCTGGCGGCAAGCTCCTGGCAGGTCTCGGTGGGCTAGGGGAGTTGAACGACGGCGAAGACAGGGCCGAGACTGTCAGAGGGCCAGCTGAGACAACTGTTATCGGCCTTCGGAGGTCCCCCTCGTCGCCATGGCTGGACGCAGCTCGGAAAACTGGTGCGTTCGGACCTGATGGGGGGTCCGGGCACCGATTCTGAGCTGCCGTTGCCTCAACTCGCCCTCCCCCGCCAGAGCGGTTGCGGTGAAGGGGGCGGAGCAGGAGAGCCCAAAATCGAGTCGATGAATCGGATCGGCGATCGGCATGAATCGGATCGGCGGACATCGGCAGCCACGTCGGGAGAAGTCGAATCGACGGAAATCGGCAGGCTAGCAAAACCTCCACACTGAGAAACCGAGGTCTGGGTCGGAATACGAAATCGAATCGAATCGGAATCGATCGAAATTGAATCGAGACGAGTCGGATGGGCCGAAATGAGCGACGAAAGCAAGCGGGTGTTGCGCGAGATGGCACAGCGACCTTACGCAGTGGCTTACGCGGGCCGCCAGCGCGGCACGCTGCATTGGAGACGAGGGCGCTTACGCGAGACCTTGCGCGGGCAGATTGCGCGCCAATGTCGGCGCAGACCTCATTTTCCTGCGTCGCTCAAATGAGCCCTGCAAGCCGAAGGAGGACGGAGGTGGGGATGGGGAGGCAACTCGCCCAGGGCACAGCGCCGCGGCAAGGGCCGTAGGAAGATGCCAGCCAGCCAAGGGCAGCGCCTGGGGGGCCGGACCCAGCAGCGGGGCCACGAGCCTGCATCCAAGGAGCAGCATCGGCAAAGCCACACGTTCTCTCGGGGATCTGCGCGGGACCGCCGAGAAGTGGTGTCTACGCCCGCAAAACCCCACCAGCCCTTTGGGCGACAGGTGGTCTAACGAGATTCCTCTTCCCTCTTCCAAAAAACCCCTCTTCCCCTACGGGGAGGGGTTTACCCCTCCCCTCACCCCTCCCCTGGACTTTTTCGGGCCCCCCCGCGACGTGTCAGGGCGTACGAAACGGCCTCGGCGAGGAAGCCAAAATCAATAGTTTTACTAAGGTGTTGCCCCCATTTGGGCCACTTTGGGGGGGGGACGAACGTTGGGCGACCAGCCCTCTGGGCGCCCAAATCATTGGTTGTACTAGGGTTTGGGCCCCATTTGAGCCTCTTGGGGGCGGGGGCTGAACGTTATCCCACCAGCTCCCTGGGAACCACAATATTTGGTTTTACTAAGGTGTTGGCCCCATTTTGGAGTCTCTGGGGGGGGGGGGGGGGCCCGCCGAACGTTGCCCCATCTCTCCTTTGATCGATGGCATTCGAGATGCCCCCAAGAGGCCTTCCAGGGCTTCCAAGAGGGCCCCAAGAAAGCCCCAAGAGGGCCCCAAGACGGCCCCAGAGGCCTCCAAGACGCCCAAGATGGCCTCTAAGACGGCTAAGATGGCCCCAGGATGCCTCCAAGACGGCCCAAGATGCACCAAAGACGGCCTGAGATGGCCTCCAGATGGCCTAAGACGGCCCACGAGGCCCCCAAGAGGCCTCCATGACGGCCCAAAAGGCGTCCAGGAGGTCTTCCAGGAGGGCACAAAGAGGCCAAAAACATAGATGTTCCCACGGTGTTTGACAGATTTTGGCATGCGCTTCTGTTCGGCATACCGACGGCCCAAGACGGCGCAAGAGGCCCCCAAGATCGCCCAAGAGGCCTCCAAGAAGGCTCCATGACGACCCAAAAGGCCCCCAAGACAACCCCAAGAGGGCCCAAGAGGCCTCCAAGACAGCCAAAATGGCCTCCAAGACGGCTGAGATGGCCCCAAGATGCCTCCAAGACGGCCCACGATGCACCCAAGGCGGCCTAAGATGGCCTCAAGATGTCGCAAGACGGCCCACGAGGCCCCCAAGAGGCCTCCATGACGGCCCAAAAGGCGTCCTGGAGGTCTTCAAGGAGGCCAGCATCATAGATGTGCCTACGTTGTTTGACAGATTTTGGCATGTGTTTCTGTTCGACATTCTGGCGACTCAAGACGGCGGAACAAGAGGCCCCCAAGATCGCCCAAGCGGCCTCCAAGAAGGCTCCATGACGGCCCAAAAAGGCCCCCAAGACAGCCCCAAGAGGACCCCAAAACGGCACAAGAGGCCTCCAAGACGCCCAAGATTGCCTTTTAAACCCCTGATCTGCCCCAAGAAGGCCCCAAGACGACCCAGACAGGCCCCCAAGACGGCTTCCGACGGCGTCAAACAAGCCAGGAACGCCCTAAGACGGCCAACGAGGCCCCCAAGAAGCCCCCCAAAGGCTTCAAACTTACCCTGGCGACGTACCCAACCCCTGCGCAACGCGGGGCATGAATAGCTTGGGAGACGTCATACGGAAGTGATGACGTGACATATGGGCGCATATACTTCTGCGAGCGGCATTCGTGAGGCTCGCAGCCCCCAAGGACGGCGATGTCCCGTTCAGATCTGCCTGGTGCCTCGCTCCGCTGGACCCACCAGCAGCCCTCGAAAGTGGCGACAATTTCGCAGATCGCAGCCCCCCAAGGACGGCGAGGTCCCGCTCAGATCCGCGCGGTGCCTCACTCCGCCGGACCCACCAGCAGTCCTCGAAAGTGGCGACGACTGTCGCAGATCGCAGCCCCCCAGGGACGGCGAAGTCCTGCTCAGATCTGCGCGGTGCCTCGCTCCGCAGGAGCCACCAGCAACCCTCGAAAATGGCGACAAATTCCAGATCGCAGCCCCCCAGGGATGGCGAGGTCCCGCTCAGATCCGGGCGGCGCAGGACCCACCATCAGCCCTCGAAAGTGGTCCCGCTCAGATCTGCGCGGTGCCTCGCTCCGCAGGACCCACCAGCAGCCCTCGAAAGTGGCGACAATTTCGCGAGGTCCCGCTCAGGTCCGCGCGGTGCCTCACTCCGCAGGACCTACCAGCAGCCCTCGAACGTGGCAACAATTTCGCAGATCGCAGCCACCCGAAGATGGCGAGGTCCCGCTCAGATCTGCGCGGTGCCTCACTCCGCAGGACCCACCAGCAGCCCTCGAAAGTGGCGACGGTTTCGCAGATCGCAGCCCCCCTGGGACGGCGAGGTCTCGCTCAGATCAGCGCGGTGCCTCACTCCGCTGGACCCACCAACGGCCCTCGAAAGTGGCGACCGTTTCGCAGATCGCAGCCTCCCATGGGACGGCGAGGTCTCGCTCAGATCTGGGCGGTGCCTCACTCCGCAAGACCCACCAGCAGCCCTCGAAAGTGGCGACACGTTCGCAGATCGCAGCCCCCCAGGGACGGCGAGGTCTCGCTCAGACCCGCGCGGTGCCCCACTCCGCAGGACACACCAACAGCCCTCGAAAGTGGCGACAGTTTCACAGATCGCAGCCCCCCATGGGATGGCGAGGTCTCGCTCAGATCTGCGCGGTGCCTCACCCCGCAGGACCCACCAGCAGCTCTCGAAAGTGGCGACAATTTCGCAGATCGCAGCCCCCAGGGACGGCGAGGTCTCGCTCAGATCCGCGCGGTGCCTCACTGCGCAAGACCCACCAGTAACCCTCGACAGTGGCGACAATTTCGCAGACCGCAGCCCCCCAGGGACGGCGAGGTCTCGCTCAGACCCGCGCGGTGCCTCACTGCGCAGGACCCCCCTTGGAGGCATGGAAATTGGCACCAACACCAGCCCAGGGGGTTGCCTCCACATGGGGAAGATTATCCTAGATTTCAGTGTTGGTGGCAATAATTTCGGCCACCTTGGAAGCCAGAATATTACCACCATCACCGAGATCGGGATCGTCTTCCCTCGGTGGAGGCACGCCACCGATCTTGGTGGTGGTGTCAACATCTAGGCCTGCGACCACCAGCATCCCTCGAAAGTGGCGACAATTTCGCAGACCGCAGCCCCCCGGGGACGGCGAGGTATCGCTCAGATCCGCGCGGTGCCCCACTCCGCAAGACCCACCAGCAGCCCTCAAAAGTGGCGACCGTTTCGCATATCGCAGCCCCCTCATGGGACGGCGAGGTCTCGCTCAGATCCGCGCGGTGTCTCACTCCGCAGGGCCCACCAGCGGCCCTCGAAAGTGGCGACAATTTCGCAGATCGCAGCCCCCCAGGGACGGCGAGGTCTCGCTCAGATCCGCGCGGTACCTCACTCCGCCGGACCCACCAGTAGCCCTCGAAAGTGGCGACAGTTTCGCAAACCCTCAGATCCGCGCGGTGCCTCACTCCGCAAGACCCACCAGCAGCCCTCGAAAGTGGCGACCAATTTCGCAGATCGCAGCCCCCCAGGGACGGCGAGGTCTCGCTCAAATCCGCGCGGTGCCTCACTCCGCAAGACCCACCAGCAGCCCTCGAAAGTGGCGACAGTTTCGCAGATCGCAGCCCCCCCAAGGACGGCGAGGTCTCGCTCGGATCCGCGCGGTGCTTCGCTTCGCAGGACCCACCAGCAGACCTCGAACTAGGCGACAGTTTCGCAGACCGCAGCCCCCCCAGGGACGGCGAGGTCTCGCTCAGATCCGCGCGGTGCCTCACTCCGCAGGACCCACCAGCAACCCTCGAAAGTGACGACAGTTTCGCAGATCCTCAAATCCGCGCGGTGCCCCACTCCGCAGGACCCACCAGCGGCCCTCGAACGTGGCGACCAATTTCGCAGATCGCAGCCCCCCATGGGACGGCGAGGTATCGCTCAGATCCGCGCGGTGCCTCACTCCGCAGGACCCACCAGCAGCCATCGAAAGTGGCGACAATTTCGCAGACCGCAGCCCCCCGGGGACGGCGAGGTATCGCTCAAATCCGCGCGGTGTCTCACTCCGCAGGGCCCACCAGCAGCCATCGAAAGTGGCGACAAATTTCGCAGATCGCAGCCCCCCTGGGACGGCGAGGTATCGCTCAGATCCGCGCGGTGCCTCACCCCGCAGGGCCCACCAGCAGCCCTCGAAAGTGGCGACCAATTTCGCAGATCGCAGCCCCCCAGGGACGGTTAGGTCTCGCTCAGATCCGCGCGGTGCCTCACTTCGCAGGACCCACCA